AAATGCATAATGAAGGAGACAACAGGCTTCACATTCCAACGTTCTTCAGTTTATTAGTAATCCAACCTCCCGCTTGGATTACTGCAACGCACTCCTCACTGGTCTCCCCAGCTCCATTCACAAGATCCAGCTCATTCAAAACTCTGCCGTCCACATACTGACACAGACCAAACTCCGTACCCACATCTCACCAGTTCTGGCCAGGCTCCACTGGCTCTCCATCACCGAAAGGATCAACTTCAAGATCCTCACACTCGTGTTCAAATCCCTTCACTCTCTGGCACCTCCCTACCTCTCCAACCTCCTCACTCCCCAATCCCGCACCCGGCGCCTCCGTTCGACTGGCACCGGCCTCCTGCTCATCCCTTGCACCCTCCACCCCACCATCAGAGGTCATGCTTTCAGCCATTACGCCTCAAAACTCTGGAACACCCTCCCTCAATCCCTCTGCCTTGCCCCCTCCCTCCCCTCTTTCAAGTCCCACCTGAAAACTTTCCTCTTCGACCATGCTTACGGCCACCTCCCCCTCCCACCTGTTCGGAGTCAGGCTCCATCACTGTTAAGCGCTCTGAGACACTACCCTGCATGAGGGTGCGATATGTGCAAGTTGTTGTTGTTGACTTAGTTAACATATGACTCCATTTTGAGAGGGATTTTGCCCTGATTTGGGAGATGAAAAATAGATTTCTTAAGAGAAAGGTAACCAAGATGATGAAACCAAAAAACAGAAGTTGCTGGGAACACTCAGCAGGTCAGGCAGCATCTATGGAGAAAGGAAAGTGAGTCAATGTTTCGGTCCACAACCCTTTGTCAGGTTCGATGAGTTCTGGTAGCAGTCACAAAACTATCACTGCCAACTCAAGCAGCAACTTTTGGTTAAGAAAATATTTTAAAATACAGAATATACCTTTCCTATGCAGCAAATTCAGCTGAGTAAAAATCACCAGAGACAGCTAGGGAGCCACAAAACCCTGAACTGATAGAGGGAGTGAAAGATGAAGCATGCATGATCAGTTAATAAATGACCGTCATTAACAGCAGATCAACAGCTAGCAGCAATGTAATCATTAGATTTCCGTAAACTGGAAAAATCTCATCTCAAACCAGATGCACCCAATCAGCAGTGGACTCAAGACCCTCCCTAATCCTCCAGACACAGACGAGGTGCAGGCCAATGGGTGATTTTTTTAAAAAAGGCAGTAAAAGCTTGCAAACTTTGCTCCCTCCCCCAGTAGATGAAAAATCTTTCACAAAATACTTGATAAGTGTACAATTCATTTTAAGATACAACAACAACAAGATTTCATTTATAGAGCGCCTTTCACGTCAGGAGGACGTCCCAAGGCGCTGGACAATTGGGTCGGGACCCAAGCAAGGGGGAAATGGTCAGGGTGAGGGGAGGGAAGGGAGGGAGCGAGGAGGGGGTAGAGTCGAGAGGGGAGCTGAAGGCATGGTCGAAGAGAAATACATAGCTTAGCTTGATCTAAATTTATGTAAGAAATTGCAAATTTGACGCAGTCGGATTGTAATCCTCAGGAAAAACTACAATGTTTTTAATACAGCAATGGGTTCACATTTCTTCAAGAGGACAACTTGTCCTGGAGTCAAGTTCCATCCATGAGTTAGAACAGCCTTTCAGCAGCTAATTCTGCATGTGTGAACCTAGACATCTGCAGGTGTTTCGACAGAATATTTCACCGTCCAAGTCATCAAACCCAAACTTGATCCCTGTTCTCCACTGGTAAGCAACCAGGCAGTTAAAAATCCTTAATAGGATGATATTTAATCTGCATATTTTAAAAAAAATCAAGTAGATATGGTGCCAATCCTGCAATGGTTAAGGTATTCTTTTATATTATGAATTTGGCATCAGTCAATCTAGGTTTAGAGGGATCATTATGTCCCAAGGACTCTGTGCTCTCCTTTTCCAGGTGAATAAACATCATTAGCTATCGAGACATAAACGTGCCATACTGAGAAGTAGGTTCCCCTTATTCATCCTTAAACCCAATCTCCTCCTGTGAAAATTAGATAAAAATATTCAGAGCCTTTCTCAGCACTACAACATTGATTGTTTGTCAACTCATAATCCCTTCATTTAAAGGCATCATTTCTTTTATTGGAATCAACAGGGTTCCATTCTAACAGTGCAACACCAGTCTGGCTGGCATAAAGTATTCACACTGTACATTTTACCGCAGTACTTTTAGCAAAAATCAGTACTGCATTACACAAGATGATCACTTTCATTACTTGACTATACTCCCTGCTCGCTGGAACTTCCCAATTCCTTGCTCCACAAACTGCATATTATTTTGAATTCTTCAGCTCATGTCCTCTCCTGCACTAAACTCTGTGAGCCGATCATCCCCATCGTTGATTGGCTTCACTGGCTCCCCATCTCCCAGAGGATAGAATTCAAGATCTTCAGTTTTAAAGCCTTCCACGGTCTTGCTCCTCCCTACTTCTGATACCTACTAAAATGTTACCAACCTGCCCGCTCCCTCCGCCCAGGAAGCACTGGCCTGCCCACTCCACCATCAGGTCGGACCTTCAGCCTTTCTGCCCCCACCCTCTGAAACTCCATCACAGAGCCCCTCCGCCTCATCCCTTCCTTGCTTCTTTCAAGGTCCGTTTCAAGATTTTCAATGCGCCTTTAGTCTCTTCCTATCTCCACCCCCCTTGACTCCAGCCTCCAGGTCTCATGCAAACCCTACATTGTCCAGTGCTTGGAACATCCTCCCAACATGAAGGTTCTCTCTATCTGTTAAGATTGGAGCTAAAGACCCTATGGTGTTATTCAAAAGAGAAGTTGTTACTGTGTATAAAATATTTATGTAATACATCAGACATTTCTTGCTTACAGCACAAAAATGAAGCTTGAAGTTCAGATCAATTACATAGTAACGACTGTATCAATGTAAAACACACATTTGGTTTTAGATATGAAGCTCTGATTCCACAGATATTTTATTTATTTAAATTTACAGCTCACTCCATCTCTACACCAGCCACTATGAGCTAACTATGAACTGGGTAAGAGTTAGACAACTCATCAGAATGATGCAACAAATATTCAGTATTAGAAATCGGAGAAAAACAGTGCAGTTTTCTTCAATTTGGTCTTTTCAATGCAAAAGATTTGTATTCTGTCACAGAAATAAACCTTACTATTCGACTAAACTGAAACCACATTTAGTAGTGTAATTGAAATGGAAACTATGATAAGAACCTAGACAGAATACAAATAGGAAAATATAAGTCATTGGATTGTTTTATTTTCATACACCGCATCATCTGATGTGGCATCTTTATTTGGCACTGCCAGTTTTCTCATTCAAGCCACATATAAACAATCATAAAACAAATCTCAAAATAAGTTTGATTTGATTCATCTCAAATTCCTGCTCTATGGTTTTGGTCCCAAGCAATTTATAGTTTGATTCTTGTGACAGTATTCAATGCAAAGCAGACTCTGTGGAATACCAAATCAGAACCACCTAATGGTGGGGGGGGGAAGCTAAGATTTAAAATACCAGCAGCTGTAGCTAAAATAAACTTGGTGAGAAACAGATAACATATTGAATCTAATTTGCAGCTGCTCCTTTTTGCTTCAAACTTTGGTGTTCCTCTACCTGGTAATGAAAGAAATTAATTGAGAGAGCAATAATTTAACGTGTGCTTCTGATTTCGAAGCATTTTACGACTCACCTGGGTGATAAACAGTAGGTTACAACAGTAATGTACTAAATTGGAAAAATCTATTTACTGAGATTCAATGAGGTGGTGGCTGTGGTTAGAAGCACCTCAAATCCACAGAACACATTCCCTTTGAATGGTTGCATTCATTAATTTCTACCTCAACAAAATAGATCTTTTTAATCACAATTCCATCCATGACATGCTTTTTTTCCGAGTTCTCGACCTGCCTGGCTGGTAATTGTTTATTTTGAATTGTCGGTAGAGATGAGTAAAGCAGCCTCACTATGTACATTCTTTTCAGTTTGTACTGAATACTTTCTCCCACCCCACTCAGACTCTTAAACAGAAACAAAGCATTAAAATCACCGAAGTTATTCCAGGTAGTCAGGCGAGACACAACTCACGCAGCATCCTGTGGTGGCTTACATTTTTATTCCAATCATTCAGTACTAGATGTGCTTCTGACTGTCTGGGTCGTAAGGAGAAAGACTGTGATTTCAGACAATTTGTCAGCCAAGGGAACATTTTTTAAAAAAAAATTAACATTTCCTCACGTTGTAGGAGATTGCTGGGCCACTCTCACAAACTGGGCACGACTTGTCAAAGAGCTGAGAGAGGAAGGAAGGTGTGTGTATGTATGGGAGTAAGGGAAAGAAGAGAGAAGGAGGGGTTTGGAAGATGAATGAAAGTTTTCCTCGTTTCCTTCTCTTTAGCTGGTGTAAAATGTGGAATGAAGTAATAATAATAATAATAATCCTTGCGTTTGATATAGCGCTTTTCACGTCGGGAGGACGTCCCAAAGCGCTTCACAGAACACACTGTAAAGTGAATTGATTGTATATTTGTGGGCGAACGCGGCAGCCAATTGCGCACAGCAATGTCCCACAAACAGTCGTGGATTGAAAATGACCAATTTATTATTATTGTTTTTGGTTTTTGGAGGGATTATTATTAGGTGTATGGAGTAAGGAAACTTGCCCAAGGTTTCGCCCTGCCTGGAATTGAACTCAGGTCTCTCGCTTGCAAAGCGAGTGCCCTAACCACTGAGCTACAGGACTTCCACATGAAGTATTCCTGTTTCAAAGAAATAAAGCAAATAACTGCCACATTGCTTAGCAAAAGTGTGGGAATAATAGTCAAAAGTGGTAGATGTTCCCTTTAAAGTCACTGAACCATTGTAAGAAATGTTAATATTTAATTTACTGGAACGACATTCTCATCCACTGGCAGCCTCTTGCTGATTGGACCGCACCATCAGGTGAAATTCAAGTTGAAAGAACAAGAAAAGTCCAACATATGGTTTCCAAATTCGTATTTATTTTCATTTGGGCTACACAAATTGAGGTAACCCAAATCTTTAAATATTTGGTTCAAAAATGTGTAAAACCCAATTTATACAAAGATTAGACTGGTTTTCAAGAATGGGGTTTTGTTGGATCTGAAAGGACCATGAAGCTAGAGCACACCCAACTGGGACTTTAGCTGTTGTGACCCTGAAGAGCTTCAGCCATGAATAATTTGCCCATACTCTGTGCTGTGAACTCCTTGATCCGCTGGCAGTAGGTGTTGATTTGTCCTGTTAGGAGTTTGAAGAAAAAAGAACATTTTAAAGTCTTGAGCAAAATACAGGCTTCAAATTGAAAAGTTCACACATTGTGCAAGTGCATTTTTCTATCTATTTCTGATGTCTAATAATGCTTTTAGTTTTAATGTTTGTGTGCACATCATCACCTATCATTACAGGTTATAATACAACCACTAATGTACAACCATAAGGCCAATCCCATCTGGCTGAAAAACAGCCAACGTCAACATAATTACTGCAGGACACTCAAGCAGAACAATGCCCTTTGACCACCTCTGATTCTACACTAATCACGAGAATGGCTGGTTGAAAAAAAAGACAGAAGTGTACCAAATGGGTGCTATTCTTCTGCTTTACCAATCGTATATGTAAAGCTGGCAGAGTATAACTTGTAGGATCCCACTCATTTAGAGAGGGATTGGGATCTCAAAATTACAGGTTTAATGACCCTTCACACGTGAGCTACCTTTTTCCTGAACTGGTTGCTCACTCAGGTTAACCTAGGTAAATACATAAATGTTGGCAGTCCATTAACCCCAAGCTTAAGTTTCAAACCCCACATTGAATCTATCCCCAAGACTACACTGAGCCACCATGACCAATATCCAGTCTATAGAGTTCAAGTGCTTCACGTACTAACCCGACGTTCAAACTCAAAACGCCATTTTCAGCAAACAAAGGGAAGAAAATATTCCAGATTACTGCTTGAAAGTACTTCAACAGCAGTTGAATGAACCTCAGGGAGGGTGGCAAAGAGTATGGAACAGTTGTTTGTTAATCTGTTAAATAGCCAGCCAATACTCATTGTCTGTATTTGTACATTAACAATCGGTTAACTGGAGAGGTCATTGACATCAGGAGTGGGGAAATAAGAGGAAATTGTCAAAACAATTATCTAAGAGCTCCCCTGATGGCTCAATGGATAAAATACACCATGGGATCCACTACTGATCAGGAATATGTTGTTTTTGATGCCTCTTGTGGGCCACATTCGCTGAACTCAGGAACAGAAGAAAACTAAAATTTAAACTGATGAGATGCATTTAGCAACTGGATCCTATATGAAACACATATATACAGCTTCTACATATATACTTCTTTTTTCTTTTAATCTCTAACCTGCGACAAGGAGAGTTTCAAGCCTTGGTGGTGGCTGAGGTGGTTTGAATAACTTGCTCATATCCTCCTCTGGTAGTGATGGTTCTCCGCGGCTTTGTCTCTGGGTATTCTCCAGTTGGCGCCTGTGCAGATACTGCAAAGAAAGATCAGCATTTAAAATACCCCAAGAGTCTGTCATTAAATAACGTTGTGTACCAATCCTGCTGACAATAGTCATGTGGTAGATATTTAACTTTTCCTAAGTTTATGTTTGAGAAAATGTCTTACAAGTGCACCATGTGCGTAGCTCTAAATCATACAGATTATTGGTCTGTGCTGGGTTAGCTGATCACAACCAGGGCAGATGTGAAGACAATTGGCATTCATGTCCCAGGCTTGCAAATAAAATCCGACAGGGCCACATTCCTGATCAATATCCAGAGACACTGGCTGGAAAATGTATGCCTTTGAAAAACAGCCAAGAGCAGAATAGGATGAGGCTGTGATTTCTTTCACATACACACACACACACTGCATTGCCTGTGGTCTGCATGGTCTTACACATAAAGAATGACATTTGAGTGCCTGCTGCAGGACCATATCCCAGCATAAGTTACCGCTTTCAGATAAGGAGAAGAGGAACAAGAAGTTTTTTTTGTGTTTGTTTTGTACTCACTCAGGTTAAACTTGGTAAATACAGCCAGTTGTCTGACACATGTGGCAACTCATCACCATGCTTAAGAGTATCCAAGCCAAACAGAGTTCCATAAATCACATCTATTGATGGAAATTCCCCAAGACATTTACTGGAATGAAATGTACACTCTCCCTGGAGGGACTCATCCTGCTGACTGAATTCTGAACAGTATTAGGCGCAGGTTGGCAAGAGCCAAGGCTTGGGGACCCCAGAGTGTGTTGGGGTATTGCCGGAGTCTAACCAGCTACAACAACATAGCCATTGAAAGAATCGTCTGGCAAGCTTTCCTGCTGTTTTTCCAGCTAGGACCACCCTATCCATTAGGGCTTTGGCTTGCAGGTTAATGGGAGCAGAGTGACTGGTCTGTTTTTCCAAATCCTGCCGATGAGCCAGGCTTGATTTGGACCTATCTCGCTCAGGAACTTGACTAGTTTTTTTTCTTAGGTTAGCATAACTGATGAAAGAAATGAATCGAAAAAACAAAAACGCTAGTTCACTAGGACACCAGAAGAAACTCCCTTTTCTTTTTCAATAGTGCCATGTTATAGTGCCTCAGTTTAACGTCTCATCTGAAAGACAGCACCTCTGGCAATGCAGCACACCGCCAGTACTGCACTGGAGTGTCAATTTAGGCTATGTGGCTATACAAGTCCCTATGTGGATCTTGACCCTACAGCCTTCTGACTCAAAGGCGAGAGTGCTACCAACTGAACCAGGCTGACACACAATGTGGGATGATGTTACGATTCGATTCCCCTTCCCTCAATTTTCACAAAAGCAAATTTGAAAATACTGCACCAGGTTTGTATTGCCACCTGCCAGTAACAGATGTTATATATTAGTGAAATAAGATTTTATTCAAGTCACAGTAATCTTTCATTAATTGTGGAAGTCCTGCTTCTAAAGTGAAACCGATCCATTGGTATTGTGGAAATGCTAAGAACTAAATCATTCCTCTGATGATCTGTGGTCAGGACCAAGTATTTCACAATAGACCGGCATTTTTTCCAGATTAAGTTCAGAGGAGAAAAATCTATTGCAATTTTAGATTTCATACCATCATTAAGGGCTGAAAAATATATTATTTTGCCAGCTCACCATAACATATCAATTTTACAACTAAAGTGAGATACCGAGCATGAATGTTTTTCTTTTTAATACGCAAAAAATAGCGAAGGACATTGAAGATGCCACGATATTTATAAAACATCAACAACTTTAAAATTGCTGCCAAGCACTTCAACGGTGACTCAGCACAGTTAGGGATGCCAACTGTTCCTGGGATTGGGAAACAGACCACAATGACTAGAAAACTCGAAAAACAACAAGAAAAGCAAATGGAAGAATTCAAAGTACGCCAGTAAAAAGGAAAGTTTTTTAAAGAAAACGTTATACTTGCAAAGTCAAGGATATGATTCACCTCCCCTCTCAGACTGTTAAAAGAATCATCACCATATGGTATCATCAATGATCATTATATAGTTTGTGCCAAACTAATATAAAGTGAAACCACCAGAGTTCCTTATCCAGTTTTGATTATACATACTTGTTGCTTCTGTTGCTGCTGTTTGGTCAGATTTCTCATGTAAGTGTTGTATTTAATGATATCTTGGCTCATTTCATCCACTCGGTCCATTAAGAGCTGGAGGTTCTTCTCCAGGTGGTTTCTGGAAAACAAAACATAATGCTATTTGAGGAAAAGTACAACCCAATAATGAGTTATATATTTGCAGTATGATACAATTCTATTTTGGGGAGATTATGCATACAGCAAAATAAAAAGATGGCAGAAATCAAAGGCATGTTATAAAGAACTAAAAGGTGCAATATCTAGAATTATTCTTGTTCCAAAGCAACGGCAAACAAGTAACCAATTAAAAATGAAAATACATAAGAGTAAGGTATGTAAAAAAAAACTTGGAACTAGACTTAAAATATTGCATCCTTTAAAAAGGTTATATGAATGCCTTTCACAAATAGAACATAATCATTTTAAAGAATACAAAAAACAATAAGAGAGTGCATTTCTCACTTAGCGATCACTCCGGGGGCATAGGCCTGCTCCATGTCCCCTGCCCTGCCTGCCCCTCATTGCCAGTCAGACATTCAGCCCTTTTGCCCCTCCCTCTGAAACTCCATTCCGGAATTACTCTGCCTCGCCCCTCCCTTGCCTCCTTCAAGGCCCATCTCAAGATTGTGTTCTTTGCCTTCAGTCACCCACCCATTCCCCCACTCATATTGATTCCAATCCCCATCTTGGATGCAAATCCTTGACTGTCAAGGTTGAGCATCGCGAGAGCAGCTGGCCAGCTTTCTATATGGATACACAACATGGATGATCCCGTGACATTGTCGGCAATGCCATAAACCCAGAAACTGCGTTAAACTTAAGAGTTCAAAATCCTCATCCTCGTCTTCAAGGACTTCCATGGCCTTTCTCCTTTCTACCTGCTAACCCCTTTATCAACCAGTTCGCTTCAGCCTGCTCCACCTCCCCCGCCCAGTCCACCCCATCATCAGTGGGCAGGCCTTCAGCCTCCCTCCCTTGCCTCCTTCAAGGCATGTCTCAAGGTCCTCCTCTTCAACCATGTCTTCGATCATCCTCCTCCGCCCCCTCCCCTGCTCGGCTCCAAATTCCTGACTGTCCAGTGCCTTGGGATGTCCTCTCAATGTGAAAGTCATTGTACAAAAGTAATTTTGTAGTGTATCATAAACATTGACTGTTCTGGGCCCTTGTTTAGGAAGCAGTCTAAATTTTCTTGATCCCAACAACCATTATAGAGGTGTACCTCTGAAATTAACTGGAGCAAGATGTTATCCACACATCTCCAAGCCTTCAACAAAATGAAGGTGTTTCAATTTGCCAGCATTATGAAACACCTGATCAATGGGTGTTTTTCTTTGCTGTTCCGACAGGTTGCATGCCACTAGTCTTTTTATATTATCCATTTACAGCTAACACAAATCTTCGGGTTGTTTTATGAGGGAAAAACTAGTTGAATACTTCAAGGCAACACATGGGATAGGGCTGTCAGCTGCTACGGAATTACAGATGGTCAAACAGAAATCTAAAAACAAGGTCTTAATTGGCAGGAAAAGGGCACTATTTTCCTGAGAAAAATATCCTGCCTAATTTAAAGAGATTGATAGCTCCAATTTTTTTTATTACAACTAGATCGCAATTAATGGACATTTCCTGAGGGAGTAGCTATTACTCAGGTACTACACAAATCATATATGGATTCTGAACAGAGTTTGAGAAACAGCTGCTCCTAACAGGATGCGCCTTGTGCCAATGGAGTGCGTGTCATGTGTGTGCTTGCCATCAGCAAAGTAAGTACATGTGAAAATTGAGGAGTGATTGACCTTTAGTAGAATCTTAAGAGCATAAAAGTGAAGTATTTCTTTTGTAGCTTAAAGATCCAGTCTTTAAGTACAACATATTCAAACTCTACAAATCTTCTGAACCCAATTTGAACTTGTTATGACTTAAAAGCACTTTTCTAAATAAGAATTGTGTTTAAACCTTACAAAACTGATGTTTTTTCTACTGTGACAATGGTGCTGAAGAAGGGCATTGAATGGAGACTAGACATGTCTCCAAACAAGAGAGGAAAAGTAAGATGAGTCAATTTGGCTGCTCTCACTCACATCCTCTTGTTAGTTATGTAGCATTTGCAGAGTCTTGGACATAGTCACTCTCTGTTTAGCCACTTTGTAGTGGGGGAGAGGGGAGGTGACAGAAGAGAATAAATGGCTAAATAAATAAAAGATAAAATGAACCGACTTTTCTAGCACTTTAGCTGGCCTGACAATCTGCGTTTTTCTGCAGGATCTGAATTCTGTATTTTTTTTAAATGTGAACTTAAACATTTAAAAAAGATGTGAAAGAGAAATATCTTCAGGTAGTCATGTAAAACAGAAACCCCAATTTAATAATCTGCATATGGTCATATAATCTTAACACAGGAAAAGCCAAAACTACACTGGCATTAGAAAAAGTTAGTCAAGGTAAATGTGTAATACAGTTGTAAGAGGCATCTCCACTGCTTGAGCAACTATGTTTAGTTCTGCGACCAGGAGGAATAATTGGGAATACTGCCCATGATTGAAGAGGGTATTTTGTTCAATCCCCCCACCCCCCTCACGTTTCTCATTTGGTGACTAACCACCAGGCTATGGCTCCAAAATAAGAAAAAATCCTGGCCAAATTAAGTCTGTCCTTTTTCATTGACATCAAATTAAAAAGGATTAAAGTTCACATTTAAAAAGGACACAGACCTCGGAGATGTTGAGAAACATACAGGAAAAACTGCTGGCATTGGTTTGAACTATCGAACTTAAACTGAAAAGGGCGTTTTACAGGGCCCAACACATGTTCTGTGTGATCAGAAGCCAATGTTACAGTTATCTAGTATGAAGAATGAGTGATTGATTTAGGATATCCCACCAGGATAATGAGATGAGTTAACTTTACTCAATAATTCCACACCACCAGTAATTACTTGAGAGCAATAACCAGTAAGGTTTAAGTAAAACGCACTGTTACAAAACTGGGTTTTTCTTCAATAGAAAAGTGACAGCGGCAGCTAGAATTGCAAAAGAATAAACTCAAATTAAGATTGAAGACAAAGGCCAAATAATCAGCTGCACACTACACCAAGTATTACTGCAAACAGTGGGAAGAATAGTAACACGAGCAGGTGCTAGGAGAAAATTTAATAACCCAAATCAGATTTAATTTGGACTGAATTCACTAAACTGCTTCATTTAACAGTGTGCATCTTAATTCACTTACAAATTTGCTCACGAATGCAGCAGCAATTAAGGAATGCATTTGATTGCTAACTATTCCTTTCACATCAGGAGACGGCCCAAACTGAAATTAACATGCCGTTCATGTCTGCTGTATCTGGTGAAGAGGGCTAGTTATGTAGTAAATGATGCATGGGTAATATCAAATAAGATCTAATGATAGTTGGACTTCAGGCTTTCCTGTGTTAACAGATTAACTCATTCTGTTTAGATGGATTACTTGTGAATCACAGATTCAAGACTGTGATAAAAAAAAACAAGCAAGGAGAGAGAAAGAGGGAGGTTATCAGTTTGTAACGTTCTGGTTTATACAGTTTGCTGATGTGGATTTATATCTTAGCACCTTGGGATATCCTTCTGACATGAAAGACACTATATAAATGCAACTTATTGTCGTTGTTATACATCTTGCACTAAGACAACAGTGTTCACATAGAACGACTGAATCAATCAAAGTACTGCAGGTTATAGAATTCCTGCACATGTATTCTTTTCAACCGAAATGAATGCAGATCCATGGAACATGGACATTCCTTTTACACTGAAAACTGAGCACAATTCTAAACTTAGCACCTTATGATCTCTGAAGGAATATCAAAATGTAGTTGCAGTGAATATGTTCTGACAGTTTCCTGCAAGTCCAGTTGCTTTGCTCCTCCTGGAACCAGTGCATAAGGGATGTTCAGGCTTCATACTGCAAATTAAAGTTGATCATTTCAACATGGACACTTTTCTTAAGCCTGGCGGTTTGCGACTGTATCTCGTGAAACTGGCAGGATTCAGTTTGCGGCTGAAAATGGTTTCGACAATAAAAAGAAACTAACAGAAACTTTAGTTGCATTTTTAAAAGAGAGACACCTGATGCTTTATCTTGACTTTAACTGAGATGGTTAAATAGAACAAAGTCATGCTATGAACAGGCTGCACTGGAGTGCTGTGGGATTTCATTTGGACTCATAGACTGGGAGATGTGCACCTAGACATGAAACTATCTATACTTGCTCAATTTCATACACATATATATATGTTCCAAATTAATCACTATACTTTAGACTGTGGCACAAATGTAACTAGAAAATAACCTTTTTTGTATGTCAGCTTTCTTATATATATTTCTTATATCCTCACAAATGCACAAATGTACAGCTCAACACAAATAATTTTTGATGCCATCCATACTTTTCTCCCACCTGATACAATAGAAAATTGGGAGTATAAAACCCAGCAATTTCAAACGGGAATCAATTAAGGAATCCTTACAATAATTGGATGTAATAATCATAATCCTTGCATTTGATATCGCACCTTATCACGTTGTTGAGACGTCTCAAAGTGTTTCACAGGATCTACTGTAAAGTGGAATGAATGTATATTTTGTGGGTGAAACGCGACAGCTCATTGCGCACACCAATGTCCCACAAACAGCCATGGAGCGAGTCCACGCTGCATACATGTGAAAACTCTGTTCTGAAATTAGTTTGCATTGGAGGATGTCCCTACAAATTGCAGGTGAGTGGTCAGTTGGGGGGAGGGGAGTTGCCTTCTGGTTTCCTTAAGTGGCTTCCTTGAAATTTCCACATTTCAGAGGAGAAATCCACCAATGATTACACTCCTGGTTATTACCTTCGCTGGAAAGTGTGCATGTGTGGACTTTGGCTAAAGACAGAATTGGGTTCAGCTGCAACTCATGCCCTCTGCCTTCCCCTCGACTAGGCAGTCAAATAATCTGCCAGCAATCACCTATCCAGGTTCTGAAAAATGGCCCATTTGGATGAGATACTTAAGGGAGACCAGTGCCAGTGGCACTCGTCACGAGCAGGAACAGATGTCTCCAGAGGAGAGGAGAAAATTGGAGCAGAGCAAGATGAATTAATTTCTAGTTAGAATACAAGCCAAACGAGCCAAAGGCAACTGCTATCAACATTGCTGCTCCTGGCAACAATAAAGCTGCTCTTACAAAGCAATTTAAAAAAAGAATAAACGCTACATCCTAGCAGCTAATCTTCAAATGTAACTAGATTAGGGAAGTGCCACTTACCCACTAGCTAGATTGAGGAGCTCCTGTTTCTCAGCCACGCTAGATTTTTCCTCCAGTTCCCACATCAGCACGTTGACAAGGTGAGAATTCTTGATAATGATGGGCACTTCTTCAAACATGTTCTCAGAGGTAATGAGTGCCTTCTTTATTCTGTTTGTTAAGTAAAGCAACAAGATGGGAATGAGATAATATTGGGCATGTCTTCAAATCTGCTCTCAGAGATGCATAATGCCATTCTTTGTTACGTTTATTGAAAACGTTTACAGGCTTCACCCTTACTCTAACATCTTAGTGGTTTAAGAAAAGTATGCATCAAAGATTTTGTATTAACAACATCTGTTTCAATTTTGGCCTGTATGTCACTTTCCCTCAAACTGTTCTACCTGCAAAATACAATTTGACTGAAGAATGACAGATGGTAGTTTGAGCACAATCCCCTTCAGCATATTTGAATTCTAAACATCAGACAAACTAGTGGGAAGAACAACGTTTCTTTCATAGTTCTAAGCAGTATTATTGAGGATGGATTGTGCAGGATTCTCTCTGTTGAAAGAAGTTGATAGCTTTTTGGCAAATAATTCAGTTCAGGGATATAAGATGGTCGTGTAGGATTTTTAAACAATTGGGAGCAACCAGACAGACTGTAATGAACGGTCTTTTCCAGCCCCTCCATTTTTATGATAGAAACAAGCAGGATTTCCCAAAAGCTAAAAGGAAAAAAAATATATACTGTTAACAAACAGCGGGGGCAATACACAATCAGCGAGCAAACAAAACGTATTCATTGGGGTTCACATTTCAATTAAATCTAAACTACTTCCTACTTCCACATCAATTCTTATATGCTTCACAAAAGATGAAGCCAATTGACAAGCAAGTTCATTTGATAATTGGTGCAAGTCAGAAGGCATCCTCCAGCTTATTTTGGTAAGGTGTATCCTAATTCTGAGAATACTAATTGACTTTTCAGTTTTCAGATTTTTATGAACACTAAATAGAAAAGTTTTTAAGCTATTGATTTTTTTTAAAAAGGATTCTTTACCCACAAAAAATAGCTGTCGACCCAATGATTTTTTTGTTTCTGTCTGGCAGATAATCAATTTACAGATCAATGAACACCACACACTAGAAATAGTCTTGTTATGGACACATTACAAATCTAAAAAACAAAATGAAATTAAAGTCTCCTTTCTTTGATAGTTATAGAAGACCTACAGGAGTTTGCTGAGGCTCAATCCACATTCTAGTAAGAGCAAACTCTCAGTACAAAACTGGCAATAATTTGGCATAAATCTCAGGAAATTCACATGCAATTATAAGACCAAGCTTAAATATGCCATTTCAGAATGAAACAGCCTGCAGATACATAGCTTGGGCTCATACACAAAGAACAGCAACAACAATTTGCATTTTTATAACGCCTATTATGTGGGGTAGAGTCTCGGAACTCAAAAATAGTTTCATCCACCTAAGTATATAACTCATGTGATTAGATTTCAGAAACACCCCTAGCTCATTTCAAATACTGAACTGTGTGAGTTCTGTAGTAAGATTTATGTGCATGCACGCAACGTTGGTCCACAATCTAACAGTCAACGTATTCAGGTCCTCACAGAACAAAGCACACAAGTCTGCTTGGTGTTGAACTGAGCAGTACCAATGTTCATACACTAGAGGCCCCATGTGGGCTATGTTAATATTGAAGTTCCCTCTAGTGGCAAGCAATAGGTATTGGTACACTTCAATGATGAGGACAGTAAATTTATTGTCCACTCAATCCTCTTCCCCTTCACTCAAAATAAAAGATTTAAAGATCATTTCAGTACTTGACCCTACATGCTTTTCTCTTATAATAAACTTGCCTAAATAGATTATTGTTTGTTTGGAAGTATGTAAGACATGTATTTGGGTGCTACAATAAGATCACTTCCGCACAAATTTGTGCAGATTTTGCATGCGGCCTGAAATCTTCAGTAATTGCTATAAGTCCTCATTACATCAGTCTAACTATACGCATCTTATCCCAGAAGACTTACCTATTCGACTGTGTCTATGGTTATCCCCCACCCCGCCTCTTTCTTATTAGGTGTTCAACTTCGTCTCTGCATTGCGCTGAGATGAAGAGTACTATACAAAAATATCAGATGTTGCTAACTATCTTGTTGGCTCACATTCCATTTGAGTTATGCCATTAATTGTACTTTAGCAATTACAGGAGAAGCAACTGCACCTTCGTAAGATGGGAAGTCGAACCACCTTCCCCTTCCACCTCCCACCATCCCACACCCCATCTTTTTGGGGAGGCTATCCTTATCGTAATGTCCTTCCCCTCAAATTTTAAGGTTATTTTTTGGATTAAGATCTTTGATAGAGAAAGCCAGTAATTGGTACTATTGCCATAATATCTAATGTGTGGATGTTTGCCTAAATCTGAAATGTATTCAGATTTGGTACATGTAGACATAGTTGTCTTTGGCCAGTTCTTTAGCTGAAACTTGTACTTGATGCACCTTAGAATACTTTCTCTACAGTGATTTCCTGTTCACCTGCATTACCGTTGCACAAATATTCAAGGTCACAGCAACTCCACTTTTAATTTGGAAGAATTATATCTGTTTTGTGCAAACATTTAACCTTACAAGCTGTGCACAATATTCTTTTCAACATTTTTTTTAATTGGAAAGATTTTCCTAACAAAATGCAATGATTTTTCTTAATATATAGTTCTAGAAGGTCAAATAATACCTCAAGAGTGATTTGTACAATTTATTTTACTCTGACAAGCTTTTTATAGATGAACATTTCCTTGACTCGTAAAATAGCAATTAAAAGTATAATTATTTAAAATATGTATGTGCTCATCCTTCCTGTGCGGGTTGAGTCAGCATATTTTTTTAGTACAACAGCAATCATTTCATTCAGCTTCAAATAGAACTTGCCTCTTTTTACACTTTTTAATCACATCCAAATATCTCAAAAAACCTTCACAAGTAATTGGTGTCAAGCGTACCGACTATTTTTGTAGACACAGGCAAATGGGTCATTATGCAACAGTGATAACCGATTAATCGGAGGACTGTTACCCAGGAGAAGCTCCCTTTTTTCTAATTATGCAATGGAATCTTGAACAAGCAGACTGGACTTCAGTTTCATGGTTCATCTAACAAGACAGCTCCTTCCACACAGCACTGCCTCCCCCAGTACTGAACTGGAACATCAATCTGGAATATGACCTCAGATTCCGACATGGGACTAAGACCACACCGTCTGACCTGGAGGCAAAAGGTGCTTCCAACTAAGCATGATGATGGGTTTCCACATGTGTCAGACACCTGGCTGACCAAAAAAANTGAATTGATATTTAGAGTACTACATCTTTTTAAAATGTTGGGACTGGTTAGATTGTGTACATCCCAGTGCCCCTGATTGAATTACATGCTTGTGACTTTAAAACGTTGCTCATATTTAGACTTAAATTTATACCTTAATCAATTGTCCCTGGCTGATCTATTACAGAAACCAATTCCAATCTTCTCTTGAAATGGCTGTAAGCTACAGCTTTGTAATTCAGAGATAACCATTTTGATGTTATAACGCGACTAAACGTTCAGAAATAAGCCGGTCCATGCTTATGCTTAATGAGGGAAGGTAAAAAGCATTGCCATGCTTAAACTAAAGAGTAAATTAGGCTGTTTCAGGAAAAAATCAGTCAGTAGAACTTGGGTAAACTCAAGCAGCATATCTGAGTCTGTGAAATACTGCTTTGTGATGTAAATAGATGTGCAACATCCTTCAGTTTAGTCAGGCTTAACCACAATGATTTTGTTAAAGGAAAATACATCTCATTTGTGGAACTTGGGAATAAAAGGGGGATTTCTATGTGCACTGATGCAATGTTGGTTTGAACATAGCTGCCTAATCCTTTTGATTATGAAACTGCAAAAGCCACAAACAGGAATGTTTAATAAAATATATAAAACATGGACATTTTCTGACAATTTTATTCATAGGTGTGATACGCTTTTGAATATAAATTCATCCAGTACATTCTTTGATTGACTTAACAGATGGGTTCCAACTGAGTGCACGCAAATAGCAATGGACATTCCTATTCAGGTTCCACACACCAAACCTGGTGAAATACAGTGAAACAATTGGATAGAAATATTGTTCTTTGTAGACAAGCAATTTGGAATGATCTGTGTTAAACAGCCTCCAATATCAGCTTTCAGAGAAAATACATTTCGGACAATTTGTATTCAGTTTGGTCTAAATTTTGGATCTGGAAATGTATTTTAAAAATGACTATTGTATTCTGGACAAACATACCCTTCAGGAGTGAAATCCTTCTCTTTACAAACTTCCATCAATTTGGGGGTCAATCTGTATGCCTTCAGTGAAAGAGAGCCGTGAGCTGTTTTAATAGGATCTGAAATGATTGAATAGAGAAAATAATCAAAGTGAATTCTTAAAAACACAAATTCAGCAGTACTATGTCGAAAACATTCATTTAATCAAGATGTTGCTATTTTACTTCTGAGGGGTTACTCTAGCAACAGTCACATCAGTTCTTCAATACAGTCAGCATTGGGGAGATGCATGCAACAACAACTTGCATTTATATAACGCCCTTTACTCGGAGTAGTGTTCTGGAGCACTTCACAGGGGCGGAGACTGACAACGAGCCTTAGGGAGGGGAGAGGTGACTGTAAGCACGATCAATGTAAGCATGCCTCCACTTTTAGAGAGATATGACAAATACATATGAACACTCCCCTCATAAAAACAAAACAAGATGATACTATGGAGGATAAACCATTTACAGGTGCAGTATTTGAAGGCACTCCTGAATTGGAGTTGCACAGAATGACCTGCACAGCTTGGAGAACATATTGAAAGAATGCCAGGAGGCTGTCTCAATGGACCTGCAATTGTAAAGGTGACACATCATACTTGATGCAGGAAAGCAATAATAAGACAAGATTAGAAGATGCATTTGAATCTACATTGAGAACGGCTCCCTAAACTAATGGCAGTCTACTTTGGATTTGGATACTATTGGCTTTTTAATGGCAATATCTATCTGGGTTACTGCCTTCAGTGACTTGTCAATCTGTACACCTAGACCGTCTGATCTTAATAATAATCCTTGCATTTGATATCGCGCCTTACCACATCTTTGAGATATCTCAAAGCGCTTCACAGAATATACTGTAAAGTGAATTGATTGTATATTTTGTGGGCAAAACATGGCAGCCAATTGCGCACAGCAGTGTCCCACAAACAGTCGTGGACTGAGTGACCAAATGATTACTTATTACCCCCGGAAATGCGATCCACCAATCGACTAATAACCAGATTTCTACTTACTGACAGGTAAACAGAGGCATATGGAGTAAGAAAACTTGCCTAACATTTCACTGTGCTCAGGAATTAAACCCAGGTCCTCTTGCTTGCGACCACTAAGCTACAGAACTCCACCCATCTCTAGGACTTCCAGCTCTTTAAGATTTGCTCCCTTTAAATGATAAGATTCTTCCTATGCTTTTCCTCTCAAAATGAATTACCTCACACTTTTTTCCCCATTGTTTTCCATCTGCCACTTGTCTGCCCATTCAGCCATCCTATCAATATCTTCCTGTATTTTATTTTGATGCTCCTTAGTATTTTCTTGGAACTCAGTCCTGTTTGGACACTTTTAAGCAAGGTGATGGATTTCAAGCTACCGGCTTTCAAGTTATCAAGCTACCGGCCCATCTCCAACCTCCCCTTCCTATCCAAGGTCCTGGAACGAGTTGTCACCTCCCAGCTGCGCTCTTTCCTCTCCAACCATTCACTATTTGAACCCTTTCAATCGGGTTTCCGTGCTGCCCATAGCACAGAAACTGCCCTGGTCAAGGTCACCAATGACATCCTGACCATCTGTGACCAGGGCTCCCTCTGCCTCCTCGTCCTCCTCGACCTATCGGCAGCATTCAATACGGTCGACCACGCTATCCTCCTCCACCGCTTGTCCTCCCACCTAAACCTTCAAGGCCCTGTCCTTGAGTGGCTTAGGTCGTACCTCTCCCACCGTCTTCACTTTGACTCCACAAATTGTTTTTCCTCCGGCCCCCGCACTGTCTCGTGTGGTGTCCCTCAAGGCTCTGTCCTCGGTCCCCTCCTCTTCACTCTCTATATGCTCCCCCTTGGTGACAACATCCGCAGACATGGGGTTAACTTCCACATGTATGCGGATGACACCCAACTCTACCTTTCCTGCTGTACCCTCAACTCCATGACCACCGATGTCCTGACAGCCTGCCTGTCCGTCATCGAGTCCTGGACGAGAGATAACTTTCTCCAGCTCAACGTGCGCAAAACTGAGGCCCTCCTGATTGGCTCACGTCAGCGCCTCCGCACCTCAGGCGCTGACAGCATCAGCATCCAAGGCTGCACTCTCCACCTCTCAAAGCCAGTCAGGAACCTCGGTGCTCTGTTCGACCCTGAGCTGTCCTTTCTCCCTCATATCCGCGCCACAACTGGCACCGCCTTCCATCACCTCCGGAATATCGCCAGACTATGGCACTACCTCACCCCTCACGCTGCTGAAACTCTGGTCCACGCCTTTATCACCTCAAGGCTGGACTATGGGAACTCTCTCCTCGCCGGCCTTCCCGGCACCTCCCTCCACAAGCTGCAGGTCATTCAGAACTCTGCAGCTCGTGTACTGTCCCGCACCAGGCTTCGGGACCACATCACTCCCACCCTCGCTCGCCTCCACTGGCTCCCCATCCCCCAGAGGATCGAATTCAAGATCCTCATCCTCACCTACAAGGCCATTCACGGCCTCGCTCCCTCCTACCTCTCCGACCTACTATCCCCCTACTTACCTGCCCGTACCCTCCGTTCCTCTGGCTCCGGTCTGCTCCACATCCCCCGCCCCAACCGCCCTACCATCGGTGGTCGGGCCTTCAGCCTCTCAGCATCTAGGCTCTGGAACTCCATCCCCCAGTGCCTTCGCCGCCTCCTCCCTTTCCTCCTTCAAGGCCGGTCTCAAGACCTTTCTCTTTGACCGTGCCTTCAGCTCCCCTCTCGACTCTCTACCCCCTCCTCGCTCCCTCCCTTCCCTCCCCTCACCCTGACCATTTTCCCCCTCCTCGCTCCCTCCCCTCCCCTCACCCTGACCATTTCCCCCTGCTCGGGTCCTGACCCAACTGTACAGCGCCTTGGGACGTCCTCCCGACGTGAAAGGCGCTCTATAAATGGAATCTTGTTGTTGTTGTTGTTCTGCATTTATCACCACTTGGCTAAGCAAAAAAAAACTACGGGGAAAATAATAAACGAAAATAACTAGTGCTTAAAATAGACTTGTTCAGAAGTGAATTTTTATTACGGCGAGAGCCACCTTGCAGTTACTTGAAGAGGTATCTTTTTGGGGGAATGGCTATTTTGAACTTCCATTACTGTTATTGGGAACTTCCATTCCCAGCGCCTTGGGTGTCTTCCCAACGTGAAAGGCACTCTATATATGTCATTTTGTTGTTATGGTTAGGCAAGCTTGCCTCAGAGGATTTACCATACTGTTGTCCAGAACTTACAGCTTCTAAACTGAAAACAAACTGGCAGTCCTAGCTTATAAAATAATGGATAAATACTCATTGAATATTTCAATGCATTTTGTGGTCTTTACACTGAAAAGTATTATCACTGATTTTAGGTAGACTTCTGGGCTTACTTCATGGTAGGAGTAGGTCTCTTTGTACTATCAGCTAAAATATCAAGCAGAATTGCAGAAATCCAATACCATGCACCCAAGCTGGGCAACAAATGTTCAAGCTAAAATCCTGATGCCTACCAACGCAGGCTGGTTCTGAACACAAAGAAGTTCTATCTAGACTTTATAATAATACTTGCATTTGGTATAGTGCCTTATCACATCAGAAGGAAGACTCAAAGCACTTCACCAAATTTACTGTGAAATGGAGCGACTGTGTATTTGCAGGCTAACGTGGCAGTCAATGTCCCACAAATAGCTATGAGATGAATGACCAATTTTATTTGGGGGATTGTTGGTTCTTTAATCTTCAAAAATATTCACACCTTCTTCCAAAGGTATGCTGATAATAGTGGCATTGATGTCTGCTGGTTGGAAACCCTCAAGCTGTAAAGTAGTGGCTTAACCCACCTTTCTACTCTTGGTCTTTGGAGGAACAGAACATACAGAGCAGGGACAAGTTCATCAAAAAGCTTCAATGCATGAAGCTTGCAAGACTGTAAGCAAAATAAACAAAGTCTACTCAGTTACTTAACTGAATTAGAATAAGGATATGCCATTTGTGTGAAGAATATCGGAAAAGATGGTAATAATCCTTGCATTTGATACAGCACCTTATGACTGACAGATGTAATTGTGTAATGTAATTTTGCTGTTTTATAGATGCTTCAAAGCGCATCAAAGGTTCACTGTAAAGTTTAGTGACTGTTTACTTGCATTGGAATGCTGCAGCCAATTTGGAAATAGTAAAGTCCCAAAAAACAGCAGCCATGTGCAGCTATCAAGCTTCCCAAAACAGCCATGAAATTGATCTGCAATTGATCTAGAAGACTGTTGACCCAAACATCAAGAGTCATGGATACCCTTTTTTCAAGACATGAGATGGGAGCTTTAACATCCACCTGAACAGACAGATGGGACCTCGGTTTTGAGGTCTCATTCGATGGACAGCACTTCCAAAAAATGTAACGCATCCCTTGAACTGCACTGAACAACCAGCCGAGATGAGGAGCTACAGCATTCTATCCAGGAAGCGAGTATGCTATGAGACAAGACAAATTGACAACATACTGCCATACATTTAATCCAGCAGCATCTGTCAAAGGATTAATCTTAATAATACAATGCAGTCTACTTACCAAAAACCTATCCAACATACAAATATAACAGATTCACCCTTAATGAGGTTTAAATGCAGTCAGTTTTATTTTTGTAAAATGGTGCTGGATTTTAAGTATACTCCACTGCACATTTTTCTTTTCTGAACCAAGTTTTTTTTCCCAAGGAAAACGTATTCTGCATGAATTAGATTTACTGATCTTGGAGGAATCATTCAGACATAAATAACATATTTTACACATTTCAACAAGCCCTGGTGAATTTTTCATGCATCTCAAATAAATGAACAAATAGAAAGCGAATACATAAACTCCTACACACAAGGAAAGATGTAGAACAGAAAATTTGATACAAGCGGAAAATTCATGAGGGAACGTAAAAAAGAAGAAAATGACGCAGAGTTTCCAATGAATAAAGTATATTTTAACAGCTTTTTCTACTGTAATCCGATTGTCACCATACTGAAACAATTTTTGTGCTGCCCAAAGATTAATCGTGTTCATTAGTATTTTTACTGACAGATATTCACGATGTAACATTTACTTCTCGGTTGGAAACTTTGTAACAGTCTGCCAGCTAATAGCAAACAGTGAGCTCGGGGAAGGCAATAAAGATGTTTTACCTACAGCTATGATACTCCACAGAACATCTGGTTTAGTGAGCAGAGGAAACGCCACTAAATGGGCAGAAAGAAGAAAATCTTTGTGCTAGGGAACAGTCTAAGTTTTGTGAGCGCCTGTCAAGAGGGGAAATCTGGCAGAATGTGTCATAACTGTAAGGTCACGTACTGAGCCAGACTTAAGCAATCAGTTTTTGTTAGACATCTGGTCCCGTTCCATCCACCATCAACAAGGGGGGGAAAGAGGAATGAAAAAAAATGAAGCAGCAACTTCAACATTCCAGAATGTACACATCAGGGCTCTGATAGCAAGAAAAATAAACAGAGAGAAGGAAACCCTGTCTAGACTGAGCTGCTGCTGGGGCTCAGGCAGACACTGGGCTGGTATTTACTGAGAAGAGCTGCCAGGCAGCACTGCCAGGTAAATAGTGCAGGAAAAGAAGTGAATAAAAAAAAACCGTCACTGACCATATATGAGAACCACGGACTCTTCAATTGCATGTTGGTAGCTAAACTGGGAGTCCAGCAGGGCTCGGCTGACAAATGAACCATAATAAGTTGACTGGTACCAGCCAACGTGGAGATGGTCGATGTTGACGTGGCGGAGGCTTCTCATCATTTCCATTTGGTATTGAACTGGAAAACATAAGAGAAGGATGATTTTCTATTTTTAAAAAAAAATGCAATTTACAATTTAACCTTAATTGTTGACTCCTTTCAAATTGTACATACACTTTACCTTTTGTTCAACAGCAACAACTTTTCTGTTGACCAGTTTGAGTTTTTTAATGTATAAAAATCCATTAAGAAATCTGAGTTATAAACTCTTGCCTTGGAATTTTTTTAAGTAAAATAACATTTTGAATACTATGATTCCTTACTGTTGGTTTTCAGCCATAAACTCCACTCTTCTTCTAGAACACCGGCTTCAACGTGGAGAAATCGGGGATTACTGTACTTTAGATCCAGGTTAAAGTCTCCCAATTTAATTTTATTCCCAAGACCACTTTATGGGGCACTATGAGTTGCCAATTTACTTAGGAGGAAGTATCTGTGATATGTTCAGTTAACATGGTGCCAAAAAAGATCCCACTGACTAGGTCTGCTTCTTAGGGACATCCTCCGATGTGGAAGGCGCTATATAAATGTACTTTTGTTGTTGTTAGTACAATATCTAGATTTAGAAAGTTTGAGCTTGTTCTCCATTTTATTGTGTTCTCTGTTCAACCACAACACTATTTCCCTTCAACAAGGAACAAATATTAAAACTTACCTAGAGTACAATCTCATTTTTCTCAGTTTCTGAAGGCAGTGACCTATACTGGGGTATATATATATATATATATGTATATATATATATATATGTATATATATATATACACACACATACATACACATTTGGGATACAGTTACACAGGTGACAATTTGAGTTGATGTGTATCTTGTCCAAGTGGCTATTCTTTGTTTCATTTCTTGACTCTGCTTAATCATGAAATGCTTCACCTTCCATCCAAATTGTGATTTTATCCTATCTTCTCAGGCAGTGCTTTACATAAGGCCTAAAAGGTTCAATCACTGTATACAAAATGACCCAGCCACACCCTGGAAATTAAAATTACCTAAGGTTCCCGACTCAAAGGTGACCATCAGGCCTGAATGCTATTTAAATCTTAAAATAACCCTGCTGTTTTTTCCTGGGACTTTAAATGAGTTTGGTGGCTCAGAAGCATCCCAAACAACCCAAGGATTAATGGTTATAAAAAAGAGTGCATTATTCCAGAGATCTGAAAATGGCCACGAACAAGAATACACCCAACAGATCTGCCCTAAAATTACAGAATGTTGCTGCCCCAGTTAAATCTGAATGTGCTCATTAACTTAACATTTCATTGGTTGTGTGCGTTTTGATTTTAATACACACAAGACTAAAATTACAAACAATGTCCCAATCAAAATGGCTGTAACCTTAATCAAAATGGCTGACCGTTCAATCACCCCAAATATCATGCTAATATCAGTTCTATTTGATGCCAGTCACCACCATATGTATAGCAATGAAGACCAACTATATATGAGATTGACAAACAGCACCATCAGACATTTGACAAACAACGTGCAAATTCTTTGGCTTGAGGACATTTGCAATAGTCACCATTTTTAATTTTCTCTTTTACATGGCGGTTTGTAGGACTTTGTTGTGCACAAATTTACTGCCACATTAGCATTCACTACACTTTAGAGTAAATTCCAAAGTTCTTTGAGATGTGCTCCCAATGTGAAATGCAAGGATATTTTTTTCATAACAACAACAACTTGGATTTATATAGCACCCTCCAAGCCAGACAGCGTCTCAGAGCAGTCATGTTTATTATAAGTAAAACGGTTGTTTTGCCTGCATTCAAGATTACAGGTAAAACCATAATAATCATCAGAATAATCCCTGCATTAGTTTGATATAGCATCTTATTACATCATCCAAACATCACAAGGAGCTTCAAAGTATTTTGCTGTAGAGCGTAGCGACTGTGTATTTTTTTAGACAAACATGGCAGCTAATTCGAGCACAACAATGTCCAACAGCCAGGAAGTGAATGACCAGTGTTATGGGAAGTTGTCAGCAAGGTCACCGTGATAACTCCCTTCTCTTTTCAAATAGTGAAACGGGATGTTTAATATCCACTGGAAGAGTGGAAGGCAGATACCCTTTAGCACATGTGAAACCATTCTACAGCGACAACATTAATATAGTGCACTTCATGTGGGGCAGTGTCTTGGAGCGCTGATGGATATGACATTTATAATGATGATTCTAACAGTTATAAAGGAATGTAAGGGTTATTTGAGAACCTCTACAGCATTGTTAAGAAAAAACACCACTTTCACTTTTTTTAAAACTTCAAAGGAAAACAGACTAAGAGCCTATCCTTTACTCTTGTGACAGCACCAATTCAATAAGTAAATAGTGCGACAATACAGCAGTAAATCTTTACCTCATTTTTTCCCCCCTTACTAAAGGAAATTCTGAAATATCCTGCAATATACTTTTACCTCTTAAAATTTTATATATAAACAAAAGAGAGAGCTTTTGTGCCAATAGTAGATATAAACCATCCAAAAGACCAGCATCTGGATATTTCAATGGTTTTGTCGGGTTAGATCCAGCTTTTATTCTTGTGATCCCTCAAGCACTATTAAATCCCTGAAGTGATGTATAATCAATGACCGGCGGCATTACAAAGTGGGTGGTCTTTAACCCTTTGCTGAATGAGTAGCATTTCTGCAGGTTTCTTTTTAAGATAACAGTCTGTGTATATCTGTAATCGTGCTTCATTGCATTAAGACAGGAAAAGTACTTTAGGTTCAAGAGAACCATCACTTCAACATTCTGAACCTAGCTCCCTGTCATCTCACTGTATCCCTCTCTTCCCTTTCCCAGACACACATTAATTGTGTCTTAAATCCATTTACATCATGCTGTTCCAGTTACCCCTCCTCGTAACTCATTCAGTAAGCACTTAGTGCAAAAATATTCCATTTACCATCGTCATTTTTAACTTACGCCTCCTGTTCTTCTACACTTTCACCACCAGACTAAGTTGCCCCGATTAGCCTCATCAATCCCTTTCATAAAATTCAACATTTCCATGAGGTCACCTTGTAGCCTCTTTTCTAAAGGTACCAAAAACACATTCAAACATTGCTGTCTACAAATATGTCTTATTTGACTTTTCTACAGTAACTCCACAACTGCTTCTGGTTTGAATTCATTGCTTTTGCAGCCCAGAACTTTATTTGCCTTTTTACTGACCCAAAGCACTGGACTGACATTTTTATTAAATTATCCATAATAACCACTTCCTGATCAGCATGCTGCTAAACATATTCTCCCCTCTTTTAGTTCCTTGTTCCCACAGTAATTATATGATATTCATGCACAATAAATTGGACCTTCCAACCATCAGCCCAACTACTGAAAATAAAATCCAAATGGTACTGAATTCCATTGCATTCTCTCCCATTAGTTTCTCAGCCTCCCTTTTCAGTACCAGCTGTAATCTTCAGAGTTCAAGTAAATTATAAATATGGATTATTTCAAAAGTTGCCTGAGGTAGACCACTCAACCTTTTAGGCTGAAAAGTTCATTTAAATATTTGAAGTCATTTTTGCTAAATGCACAACAGGAAAACTGAGATGAGGAAAGGCTTTAATGCTCAACAAGAGTTAATTTCTAAACAGGAACACACAGTGTGGAACACTTTAATTGCCACTAACCATACAATACTGGCCCTTGTGCACAGGTGCTGCGTTACTTGGGAATCCTGCAGCTCAGTGTTTTGAGCACACGCCTCGCAAGCGAGCGATCTGGGTTCAATTCCCAGCAAGGCGAAACGTTGGGCAATTTTCCTTACTCCACATGCCTCTGTTTACTTAGCAGTTTGTAGGAACCTGGTTGTTAGTCGATAGGCGGATTGCTTTTCCGGGTATAATAATTCCTTCTAAAATAATAATAATAAATTGGTCACTCAAATCCTTGACTGTTGGTGGGACACTGCTGTGCACAATTGGCTACTACGTTTTGCCACAAAATATACAGTCAATTCACTTTACAGTATGTTCTATGAAGCGCTTTGAGACATCTCGAAGACGTGATAAGGCGCAATATCAAATGCAGGGATTATTTATTTTTAAAGAAAAACTGAAACGCTGAAAATCAGCAAGTCAATCAAAGTCTAAAAGAAAACAAAGAGGTTTAACATTTCAGATGCTAATTGACCTGCTGTAGATTTTCAGCATTTCTATTTGCATTTCATATTTCCAGCATTCTCTGTTCTTCATTTTACTTCCGCATTTAACATTACGGTTTTAAACTCTTGAACCATGCTTATTCGATAATCTGTTCAAATTGTACGGCCAGGGTGCTTTCAAACACACTAGTTTTGTTTTTAAACACTTGCTAAGTTTTGACTCTCTTTTTAAAGCTATCTTTATAAACTGATTTAACCTGTGCCTGATTCATTTTCCTTAATTTATTTATCAGCACGTGCCAAACCTGGATTCTATCCTCCCTCCCTTTCTCTCTCCCCAGTGTAATCCGTAAAGCATGGCAGCACATCTAAAATATCCATGCAAACCTACGAGCTGCAGTTGGAAAGTTAAGCAAAGTTGTGGAACATAGCAACAGTCGTGAGGAGTGGGAAAAGCAGTCAGGAATATTGCAACAAAGATTAATGAGAAAAGCTAAAATTGGGCTGGAGCAGCCTTTAGCTCTATGGGTCAAATTCCATGTTCCAGTATTCTCCCTGAAGTGGAACATAGTGTAGGTTGTAACTCCATATCCAAAACTATAAGCGAGAACACTGTAGTTGGCATTGAGCAGCAAATAGTGGTGTGCGAGAGGACTGGGGGCTCATTTCTGCAATTCCTGTGGCAAGTCTCTAATCACAGCTAAGTCCAAAGGAGCTGCCAGCCGCTTCCCACAGGTGAGGAGGGAAGACAATGCATAAGTCATTCTGGCTAATCTTGTTCACTTTCCAGCAATTGGATAAAGAGCAGCTATATAACGTACAGGGTTTTAAAAAAAGGTGGTTTAGTTTTCTTGGGTGTATTTTTGGACACAAACAGAGGAGGTAGAGGAA